GTATTTATTTTACACCACTGGAAATGTGTTGAAAAAAATCTCTTCGTTAAACAGAAATTGAGGGAAAAAAAATAAATGGGGGCCTAAAAATTCAGGGGGGCAAATAATTCTGACTTCAACAGTAAATATATATATATATATATATATATATATATATATATATATATATATATATATTTATATATTTATATATATATATATAGCTACACAGTTCTCTTGTATTGGTCGACTAGGTCAAGTGGACAGTTGTTTTTTTCCCCTTTCATATCTACAATCATCCCTTTGGTATTGGTAGTATTTAAAACTAGGTTGTTAACTTTGTACAAATCAAATAAACCATCTTTTTCAATTATTGGTTAGGTGTCTTGCTCAGCCCTTGACCTCAGCTGGGTATCAAAGTGTGAGAGAGTGCAGTTCATTCACTCCACCCACCTTCAAATCCTGTTGGGACCAAACGTTGGGTTACAAGTCTCTCTCAAGTCACTCACTATCCATTAGGATGAATGGCAGTTGTGTTTGATCAACCACACAGCTGTCCACAGAAATAAATAAATAAAAGTAGTATTTAAGTGGAACAATCAACTCCCATTTAATGCTGATAAAGTGGCACAGCAATTCTTTCTATGTGCAAAAAAAACAATCAATAAATATATAAAATATCAATAAATAAAACAATCAGCAAAACGTTGCTTATAAGTTTGAATACTGCATTATCACAGCATTAAATTTAAAATATTGGATTTAGCTGTAAATATGCAGTGTTGAAGTACATCTCTAGATGCTCTAGTTGTATTATCTTATTATTGTTATTTTTAAAAATATTTTTAACTTGCCCAAAGTGAATAAGAATGGATGTCAGCTGTCATCGATTAGCAGTGCTGTTGCACCAACGTAATTTTTAGTCACTTACTGAAGTCCAGTGGTCTCCAGTAAGTGCAATGGCACTGACCTTTTTTTGTGTTATGAGTGTCGTACAGTTCATGTATCATCAGTTCAGCAGAACACCTTCATGGTAACGTACAATCCTGAACAATGTTGACGGGTCTGCAATCAGTTACGGACTAAGTTTGCTTTGCAATAGTTTTTTGTTGTTGCACTACTGCAAACAAGTTGTGCTTTGACTTAAGGACAGTTCACAACTACATTATGTTTGCTCAATGTTGCTTTAAGGGGGACACAGTGTGCAAGAAGGTTGCTAGTTTGTGTCATGAATGAGCCACTTTTTTGTGTGAAGTTTGAATTATCAGCCCCCCTTTGAATTTTTTTTTCTTAAATATTAATATTATAAATATTTTCTTAAATGTTTCCCAAATTATGTTTAACAGGGCAAAGAAATTTTCACAGTATGTCTGGTAATATTTTCTTCTTCTGGAGAAAGTCTTATTTGTTTTATTTCAACTAGAATAAAAGCAGTTTCAAATTTTTTAACACCATTTTAACGACAAAATTATTAGTCCCTTAAAGCTATATATTTTTCAATTGTCTGTAGAACAAACCATTGTTACACAATAACTTGCCTAATTACCCTAACCTGCCTAGTTAACTTAATTAACCTAGTTAAGCCTTTAGATGTCACTTTAAGCTCTATGGAAGTGTCTTGAAAAATATTTAGTGAAATATTATTTATTGTCATCAAGGCAAAGATAAAATAAATCAGTTATTAGAAATGAGTTATTAAAACTATTATGTTTAGAAATGTGTTGAAAAAAATCTTTCATCAAACAGAAATTGGGGACAAAATGAAACAGGGGAGCGAATTATTCAGGGGGGCTAATAATTCTGACTTTAACTGTATATATATACACACACACACATACACAGTATATAAAATAAGTTTTATTAGACAGTTATTTTAATTCAAATAAGAGTTTGACCACCAAACATCATTATAAATATAAATACATTTAAACTCAAATCAGGTATTGCAAAAAAAACATGGGGTCGCCATAACAAAATGAACCGCCAACTTATCCAGCACATGTTTTTACGCTGCGGACGCCCTTCCAGCTGCAACCCATCACTGGGAAACACTCATACACTCACATACACTACGGACAATTTAGCCTATCCAGTTCACCTGTACGGCATGTCTTTAGACTTGTGCGGGAAACCGGAGCACCCGGAGGAAACCCAGGCGAACGCAGTGAGAACATGCAAACTCCACAGAGAAATGCCATCTGACCCAGCCGAGGTTCGAATCAGCGACCTTCTTGCTGTTAGGCGACAGCATTACCTACTGCGCCACCGGGTCCCCCTAATATAATGTATGTTATAGTCAAATATATTATTGTATAGCACAGAAAATATTAATTTACAGATCAATCTTCAAAGGGTGTACTCAATTTATGCTGGGCACTGTATGTATGCACACATATACATCATGATTTGTGAGGGATTTTTGTCCAGTAACACAACTACCATTAAGATGAAAGATAGTTTTGAGGCATACTGTGTATTTCATGGCAAACGATTTCTTTTTTGATTAATATGTTAAATAAACATTTTTCCATTGAACTAGATAACTTAACAAGTACAGTATACAACAAATATACAGTATCCAAAATAATCATTATTGCATTGTTCATTTCTGTAAAGCTGCTTTGACACAATGCACATTGTACAACCCCAAAAAGTTTAACAGTAGGAAAACGCAAATAAAAAAAGAAAATAGTTATTTCTAAATTTACTTTGACTTGTATTTTATTGCAGGCAGCATAAACACAAAATATTTCATGTTTTGTCTGGTCAACTTCATTTCATTTGTAAATATACACCCTTTAGCCGTTCAGACCTGCAACACATTCTAAAAAAACTTGGGACAGGAGCAATTTAGGAATAGTAAACAGGTAAATTGGTTAAATAATGATGTGATTTGAAAAAGATGATGTCAGCATGTGATTGTTATTATGATTGTTTCAAAAGCAGCATCCAAGAAAGATCTAGTTCTTTAGGAGCAAAGTTGGGCAGAGCATGGCCATTTTGCCAACAAATACGCAAGAAAGTTATTGAAATGTTTAAAAACAATGTTCGTCAAAACATAGAAAGACATTTGAATATTTCAACTTCAACAGTGCATAACATAATTAAAAGATTCAAGGAATCTGGAGGAATTTCAGTGCGTAAAAGACAAGGGTGCAAGCCTAAGCTGAACTACAGTGATCTTTGATCCCTCAGGCGGCACTGCATCAAGAATCATCATTCATCTAAGCGATGTCCCAACATGGGCTCAGGACTACTTTGGCAAACCTTTGTCAAGTATCACAACATGTAGGTATATTTACAAATGCCATTTAAAACTGTACAGTGCCAAAAGGAAGCCCTATTCTAACAGTTTCCAGAAGTGCCGTAAATTTCTCTGGGCTCGAAGGCATCTGGGATGGCCCATCACACAGTGTAAATATGCATTGTTTTCAGATAAATCCGTATTCCAGGTATATTTTTTGGGGGAAATGGACACTGTGTCCTTCAAACCAAAAAAGAAAAAGATCATCCCCACTGTTACCAGCAACAAAGTCCAAACACCATTGTCTGCCATGGTATCAGGTTGTCTCAGTGCCCTTGGAAAAGGTACTATAACTTGCACTTCTGTGATGACACCATTAATGCTGAAAAGTACATAGAGAATTTGTAGCACAACAGCAGGACACCCATGCATATTTCAACAAGACAAGGCAAAATTACATTCTGCACACATTACAAAGTCCTAGCTGCAGAGAAAGAGGATACACGTACTTGACTGGCCTGCAGGCTCGTTCTGTCTCCATTGTATGAATATGTGAACCCGTACTGTTGCCCACCTAAAGAATTAAGACTTGTTTGCGGGAAGTATGTGACAAAATTACACCTGAAACAATTTTTTTCAAATGTGTTGCAAGAACCAAAATTGGGATACTAAAGAAAATCGTGTTTATTTAAAAACAAAAAAGTCAAAATCAAAATCACGAGGAGTACATTAAATAATGGTTGTTGTTTTGTCTGCAATGAAATACGAGTTAAAGTAAATTTAGAAATCACTACTTTCTTTTTTTGTTTACGTTTTCCATACTGTCCCAACTTTTTCTGATTTAGGGTTGTATGAACCATTTTAGAAATAAAGGTGACTTTACTACAGAGCTGTTTAACGCTTGACTCTAATTATTGGCAAATATTCATGTTCATGCAAATAGTGTAAAGATATTTTAATTGGAACAACCAATGTAGTTCCATGTAGGCCTGACCACATTAGTTTCATTTCACATTTTAACATCCAATTACAGAGCACCTCAGTCATTTAGGAGACATTCTTTTCATTATAGCTTCTCACTGGTCATGACAATGTCAAACTGTGCTCAATTTCTGAGAATAGGGAGCCATGCTGATTTTTTCAGGGTCTGTAAAATAAACAAACGAACAAATAAATAGATGTGACTTTGCACAAATTCTGTGAATGTATCTGTCACCAATTGTAGGAAAATTGAAAACAAGCAGGACATAATATAATAGTGCCAGAAAAAGTTGTGACAAAAAAAATCTTGCTACCATTTCACTTGAAGAGTTAGGCTATCTGCCTTGTCTTGATAATGGCAGTTCAGTCTTATTCGTGAACTAATTTATAGTAAAACTATTTCATCTAACTATCTCTACTTTTAGTCTAAATGTTTGACCTTGTGTACTGCTGGTTTTGACTTTATAAGGAATGGCTAACAAGTTATTTGTAAAACAAAAAAGATAAAAACATCTAACTCTTTACATAGGAGGCATTTTAATTTAATAATAATTTGCTGGTTACAATGACAATGAACGAAGAAATCACCATTTGTACAGTACATGTTTGGACAGAATCAACTCCTGTTCATAATCTATGAATAAGCAATAAACCTAGTATATTTTAAAATGTTACAGATAAGGGTATAGACAGTATCAATATATATGAGTAACAAACTTTTTCTTCTTTTTTTTTCCCACAGTGTTCTTTTTTGTGTTAATTCAATTGATATCAGCCAAAACTAAGTTCAGAATGCTACTTTTAATATTCTTTATTGCTTTAAACATGACCTTACACACATAAAGACCACAGTGAAGCAAAAACACAGACAGTAACTCAAAGAAATATGACCACATATAGTAAAAATGAAGCACAGTGACATCTCATTTTGGAAATGCAACTAGACTTTGACAATGTATGTCTGAAAAAAAAGTACAAACACGATGAAATTGTGTACAGTAATTTTTTTTATATAAAAATAAATATTCCATGCTTTAGTATACTCTAAAATATAGTAACTGTTTCTCTCTGGTACATACTACTATAAATTATGAGAAACGTGTTCTGATTTCTCTCTTAAAAACTCAAACAAATAATCTTTGATCATATTAGGTGTTATTCTCAATTAGTTTTTGATAATATATTTCCTAAGTTGAGCACAGAATATTTATACTTTTATTTGGAACTATTTTAAAGCAATACATTCCATCTTAACTCTTCTTGAACTTTTAGTGATATGTTCATTTATTGCCAGCATCCAAAGTTCTTTCAATTGCTGGATTGACAGAGCCTACCTATGTTAGCTCTACTTTAAAGTAGAGATAACATGTAATATACCTGAACATTAAAAAGTTAATTGTTTAAACCAGGGATGTCGAAACCTAATCCTGGAGTTTCACTGTCCTGCAGAGTTTAGCTCACTTCAATACATTTGTCTGGAAGTTTCTAGTAAGCCAAGTAAAACCTTGATTAGCTGATTCAGCTGGTTGGCTGGTTCAGGTGTGTTTAGTAAGGGTAGGAGCTAAAGTATCCAGGACAATGGCCCTCCACAAGCAGGATTGGCCTTGTATTGGTTTTAAGAGCATTATATACTAAATTGGAACAGGAGACAGAAACATTTTCAGATGTAAGACAGTAGTTGGTTTTATTAAAATACATATAAAACTATTCTGTGTGAGGTGTGCACAATGGATGACGTCACATGAAAATCCAAAAATAAAGGTTTCTACATATAAGACATTTCAAATTATAGGATAGAAATCAAAACAATTTTCTGAAAGTGTTGTGAAACACTGGATGCCTGTATATGTATTTAGGGTATAAGTGGAAACAAATCGGCTTTATTTTATATACACAAGCATTAGCTTATAGATTGCACTAAATTATGAGGCTTCAGAAACCCCATCCACTTTTCCAATGCTAACAAATAAACAATCAAATTAATTAAATAAATAAATAATGCCATTGTTTGCCAATACACGCCATTAAGGAGAAATTCTCAGCTCAATTATTGTATTCTTTCAAATGTTATTCCAGTGAATTTGAATCTGCTACATTGTCTTTCCAGGGCAAGTGTTTCCTTCAACTATCTTGTTAGAGACACAAATCCAGACAACGTGAATGTGATATTGATAAAAGGGAGTACTTTATGTCACAACTAACAAAGTTGAAAAACAAGCACATTATTAAATATTTGTTTCTCTCTCTATCTAATTTACAAAACATTAAATTTTCTTTTTTTTTTCTTTTTTTTTTGCCACTCTCAGGGCATGTGTTTTAGTTTATGTAGCTATAATGTTTCTATAGTATTTTAATAATGGTAATATAATTTTCCCTATATTATATTATATAAATCACTTTTAGGACACAAAATAACCCAGACAGGCCCCGACCCCACTAGCCCTTCCCAATACAGTCATTTTGTGATTTAAATATAGGAACAACTAAACATAGAAAAATGTCAATTTCACAGTACTCTTAGTACTCTTTCTCTAAGTACATGAGAGTGAACAGCCCTGTTGAACTTCTACATTTTTTTCTTCAAATCTGTGCACAATTAATGACAAAAAATCATTTAAGGGTACAAGTTGCACAACCTTAATAAACATAAAACAGTAGATAGATATGCAGTTACAGAATTTAGCAGGCAGTGAACAGAAAGGTAATTTAAAAAATGTAAACCAATGAATGATCTAAAGAGATTCCTGCCGGAGTGTCTTTCTGGTTTACCCCACAAAGTTATTATTTGCTGGGCAAGGTTTTGATAGAGCGATTAAGAGAGCCCATATTAATAGATATATGAACTTGAGGACTTGCAGTTTTATTTGGGAGGCTACTAGAATGTCCCATTGCCTCTTCAGCAGCACGGAGAAGAAGTGTGTAGTTGACGGCTACCTCCTCTACCTTACGTAAAAGCTGTAGTTTTTGAGTTTCAGATCTTACTCCCCTGACCAGTTGAATGAATGTCTGAGTAAGGTTACACAGCACCTGAAAGCTAGCTGTGACAGCACTTAGCATTCGCGAGGGACTTTTCTCAACACTTGCCACTCGTCTACACGATGCCCTGAACTCCTTAAAACGGACTGCAAGTTCTTGCTTGTACTCTGCAAGTGTTGCAGAAGGGATACGTGGTTCACCCTCTATTTGGGGACTGTTGGCACACTGCCTTAAAATTGAGAGCAGCTCATTTGCGTCAAGCTGCGCATTTAAGAATCCATCCGGCAACGAGAATGTTTTGTCTTGCAAAGATTTTACTCTTGCCAAGCTAGCTTCCAGGTTCCCACATACACGAAGATCAATCCTTTGTGTTTGTGGCTCCTCTTCTTGCACCTCCTCTTCTCCACAGCAGTCCTCTGCATCAAGTACCTGAAGAGTTTTGCTGATCACTGGCATTGTTCTGGAATCTAGATGCATTCCAGGCAAGACTTGTAAGGGTATGGAATAAGAGAGTTCATCTTTTTCGCTGCTTTCATCAGCAGCCTCACATTTGCGATAACAAAAGCAGAAAGAGCAACATTTTTCTCTGTCCTCTGTATCCTCACTTGGTAATCCTAGAACTTCAGCTGTACCCTCACGACTTTCCTGAAGGATCTCCTCTCCCTGAATATAAAATATCTTCTTTGCGTCCCCATCTTTAGTATGTACAGGCTCCACTGGAGTTGGAAGTCTAAGTCCAGTGGCCCTGACTCTTTCCATTTCTTTCTCAAGGCTCTTTGCTTTTGTAGTTTTAACTTCAGCATACAGGGGGGTGCTGCCATTATTTTCGATTTCCCCTATACTATATCTCCTTTGTAGCTTTTTGTAATGTGGTGCACCTATGGATTCTGTACGGGTGGTGCACATGGGCAAGCATGATGTTGGTATATCTCTGGGTTCCCTTGACTCAAGACTTGTGGAACGGATTCGAGTAGTTTTGATTTCTAAAGTCTGATTTTTTTGCAATTCACCTTGTGGAGTATGTGGAGACTTTGGAATAGCTGGGGGTGTTTTAGAAATTGCCCGTTCTCTTCCTCTCTGTTCTGTTGCAGAACCAACAGCTGTATCTGGGAGACGCATTCCACGGCACATTCTTTTACAATCACAACTGCGCCTCTGTTCTCTTGAGATCCCAGGAACTTTTTGTACAGGACTTGTGCGCAGCTGGCAGGCACATGGGGTAAATGAAGGAACAGGAGAAGATCCCTGTGGCAAGAACTCTCCTTGTGATGTTTTAGGTTTTAGAAGCTCCTCTAGGAACTCTAGCTCATACTGCCTGACCTTTTGAAGTTGTGCACGACGCTCATCTGTTTCTCTGCGCAAACGTGCAGGAAAAGTGGCTGAAATTAAGTTCCTAAAACTTAGGAATGGAGTACTTCGCTGAGATTTGCCTTTGTTATTTGCCTGTTTCTTATACTCAGCACCTGGGATCGTTGCACCCTTTTCCACACAACTCAACATATGTGTTGGGTCTACATTAACAGGTAAACTTTTAGCAACTTTCTGTATTTCCACAGGGGATTTACTCTGGGAGTTCTCTGCCTTTGCCTCTGACATCTCTTTTTTTTCTACTTTAGCAGACATAACTGGTGAGTACTTAGTAGAAGGCAGGGTGTTGGGCGTCACTAAGCTTGCATCAGATGTCTTTGCAGTGTCCTCTTTAGCTAACTGAAGTCCTTTAGCATGGAGACGCTCATCATCTGTGGGAGACAGTGAGTGAAACACTACCAGTTTTTGAACCTGTGGATCTTTCAGACGCACCTGTGGGCCAGGCTCTGGTCGTATTGGACATGTGCAGAATAAGTCAGCTGTTGGTAGAAGGCCTTTTGAACTTGAAGGCTTAGTGGTCTCACTTGAGGCATTCTTGGCATCTTGGCACCTATTTGTTGAACAAATCTTTGCAGATGTAGTTCTATCCACAGGCAAGAGAACAGGTAAGGCTATACTAGTAGTTTCAAGGGTTTTTGCACAAGAGTCTTCTTCCTGTGCACCTTCTGAGGTAATGGTGCTTGGTTTTTCTTCATTAGCGAGAAGTAGTTCTGTGTTGACTTGGGGAGCACTCCCATGTTCTGGTGCTTTAAGTTCCTCAGAAATTTGCAGTTTCGATTCTTCCAAGCATTCTGTGACAAGGCCCTTTTCAGTTATTTCTATATCCTTCTCACCGTTGGCTTCATGGCTTTTGCCCCACTCAGCAGACTTATCAGAGTGACTAATTTCTTTATTTGGAGATATTTTTAGGGGCAAGGTCTTACTTAAAATTACAGGCTTTGGTGGACAGCTGCCACGGATCTGACTCATTGAAAAAGCCCCTCCACCAATAGCTTGTGTTGTACAGCCAGGGATTGTCAAGGGGAAATCTCGTCGACTGAAAAGTCGCTCTTTGTTGATGTGGTGGGCTAGTAAATAGGCCTGGTTCTGATGTTGCTTCATTGCAGACACCATCTCCGACACATCAGTTAACTCTGATGAATTTGTCTCATGTCCAGAGTCTAGAGATGATTCAGGAGTTATGGCAGCCAGTACAATCAACCCTGTAAACACACACACACACACACACACAAACACAAGCATATTTGTAAGAAATTGCATAAGTACAGTTACTTCAGGTAAACAAAAAGTATAGAGAGACATTCAAACAAAAAAAAAAAACTATTTTAAATAAGTTAATGATATAAACTTCTTATCATGTTTGTTATTTTGTTAAGTAGGCAACATTACACTAAAACTAGTTTTGGGACCTTCTAACTTGATATGTTAAACTACTATAAGTTGAAGGTAGCTTGTCAAAATAAATGCTCAATCCACCATTTTTAAAAAATTTATTTACTTCTGTGACTATTTTATGGTTTTACACATTTCTTTAAAAATATTTATTTACTTTTTGACATGTTAAAGAACCAGCACTTTTATTAGTACACATGGCCACCTGTTGTCTGTGGTGTCTGCTGTTGATGGTGTGGGTAATCCTCCGATGCAGCTAGTGCTTCCAGCGCCTGTAGGGTAGATACTAATGCATCATCTAACTCCTGAGCATGGTCTTGAACTGTTCTTGTTGTCACATTATCAATCAGTGTTACCGGAACTTCATCTTGACCCTGTGCCACAGCAGTGGAGGCTTTGATTCCTTTCCGACCCTTTTTCGGATCATCTTCATCAGAGCTGTTATCACGAAACCCTGGGGGTGGTGCTGCAATTGCAGCATGAGTGGGGGGTTGCAGTTTTCCTCCTCCATCCTCTATCTCCTCATCTTCCTCATTCCCAGGTAGTGGTAAGGCAATGAGGTCAACAGCCCCTCCTTCACGAGAAGAACATGCATTTGTGCACTGCTGCAAAATGAGTCTTCCAGTCTCCCCAGTTTTTTGGATTATACCTTCAGCTTGGAGTTTTGCCTTGCAAAATTCACAAAAAAACTTTTGTGAGGGCTCCAGTGTTTTTGCTCTGTTCCTGAAGCTCGAGCTCTCCTCAGTGGGTCCATCGTGTTCAGCCACAGATTCAGTGCTCTTTAAAGTGGGGTCAGACTTTGTTCGTGAGCGACTCTGCACCTGCGAAATGAGGTTCTCGTTAACGTCAAGTTCCTGTTCAGCTTGTATCTGAAACTCTTGCAGCTGTTGTTGCTCTTTCAAATGAATGTGGCATAGGCCAAGGTGCTGAGGTATGGGCGATGCTGATGTCTTCTGTGTTGTCTCTCTGGACGATGTCTCTCGCTCTTCCCGAGCACTTCCACTTAACACAGTGGCTCCAGAACGGGTTTGGGCATGGGAGCTTCTGCAATCTAAATGACAGAAGTGTCTGAGAGGTTGAACGTGTAGAAAACATGATTCATGGGAATGAGTCCAGATGACAAAGGTGAATCTGTTGAATAGTTTTCAGAGATGGAAAATAACCTTGTGGGATGTGATGATATGCTTTTTCGTTGGCAGACCACAGATGTAAAAATCCAATGGATGGTTTAGCAAAGCAATGCAAAATATAAAAAACTTCCAGAAACATTAAATCATTCTGATTAGCATTTCAGTTACAATCACTTACATTGGTTCCACCTGAAGATTGAGATAAATAACTTAGATTTCTCTTTTAAAGCAAGCTTATGAATTGATTTCATGATTGGTTGATTTATTTTTCTGTCTATTACAAAAAACAAGGTTAATTTCAAATATATTTAGATCTACCTCTATTACCTCTGTTTTGTTTTTATTTGTCCCAAACTGCATATGTAACACAACACATGTTAGTTCAGCAGGTCAATGAAAGATGGAAATGTACAGTTACATGCAATGAATTTTATTGTATTTAATGAAATTGCAACTATAATATCTTTGCATAACTGTATACCATTTCTAACATACCTGCCTTGATCACATAAGGCTGACCAGGTATCCTGCAGTAGATAGTCCTTTTAGGGTCCACAAATAGCTTGTAATAGCCAGAGATCAAACAGGCAAAGTTTGATGCATCTGGCCACTCCATTAACAAGACCAAGGGCTGCAATAAATAGTATAACATAAAAAGCATTGGAGCATAGTTTGCAATAGTATATATTCCAATGAATGTATTATATTTAAAACATAGAGGTGAAGGGCGAGGTGGTTGGTAGGCTTAAGTTAGAAGTTACTGTGATAAAAAGTATTCTGCTGGTGTGTTTGAAAGATCTTGTTGGAGAGCATTTTCCCCCATACCTTTGCGTCCAGAATAACAACCTCGACCCGGGCTACTCCATGATGCTCTCTAAACAGCTGGACTTTGGCAACACGGCTGAACTCTGCTAAGACAGTTGTTAGGTTGTTCTTCAGGTCGATCACATGACTGATGCCATGGCGTGGTCCGACCAACAGGGTAGTGGCTGATTGCTTCTCATCCTTTTAGTAGAAAAAGAAAATGAGAAATTTTAGTATAAATAGATATTGCCCAGTATAAATAATTCACCCCTTTTAAAAAGATTTTTTATTTATTTCTTAGTGAATTTAAGACTAACCTGGTCTCATCTTTAGGATGAGAAAAAAAACAATAAATTTAATTAAAATAATGTGTTGAAAAATGATTATATCCTACAACCAACTGAACTAAATCTGACATTTTGTATGGTCTTCTTGATTTTTAAGAACAGAACCAATTCTTCAAGACACTAACTAACCAATTGGTAACATACAACGAAATTTTTCTTTTTTAAGAATTAACTTTTCAGATCTTGGATGGAGAACAATAGTCATCTAGTCTTTTCAAAACTCCCTAAAAGTGTTGTTGGGTTGAAGTCTGGGGACACCACCAGCAGAACAAGGCTGGTGGTGGTTAACTGTCTCGAATGTTACAGAGGAGCTCTGAAAACTTAAAAGGAGGAGAGACAGCAGTGGAGGATGACAGAGGACCAGGCTTGCACACTTTATATTGGTTTTGCTTTTGCTTTTTTTTTCACATGACTGATGCCATGGCTTGGTCCGACCAATAGAGTAGTGGCTGATTGCTTCTCATCCTCTTTTAGTAGAAAAGAAAATGGGAAGTTTTATGAAGTATAAATACAATACAATACAATACCCAGTATAAATTAACTCACCCCTTTTAAAAAGATTTTTTATTTATTTCTTAGTGAATTTAAGACTAACCTGGTCTCATCTTTAGGATGAGAAAAACTATACATTTAATTTAAACAATGTGTTGAAACATGATTATACCCTACAATTAATTGAACTAAATCTAACATTTTGTATGCTCTCCTTGATTTTTAAGAACAGAACCAATTTATCAAGACACTGAATAAACCAATTGATAACATACAACTACATTTTACTTTTCTTTTTTTGAGAAATGAGCTCTTTAGATCTTGTCTTTTTAAAAATATCTGGGTCGAGGGCTGGGGACATGTTCTTCTTCAGAAACGAATAAGTGACTTTTTTTGTAAGATTTGGTGGGTAATTATAATGTTGAAAGACGGTCTGGTGACCCAGGACATAGGGGTTTCATCAAGGGGTGCAAGAACCTAAGGGGTACACTCCAGTAATAATTGGCAGTGACGGATGATTTATGGTTAGCTGTTTTAGGAACCCAACACAGATTGGCATTTTGTGCTTTAAGAAACAGGCTCAGCCATCACACCAGCCACAATTATTTCTACAACTTATTTATCTTACTTTTATATGCACAGGAATTACTGACATACCCATTGCAGTACCTATCCTTTACAGCTATACCAGCTTCAACTCTTCTTGGAAGGCTTTCCACAAGGTTTAGAGCATTTTTTTAACATTCTTCTAGAAGAGCATTTATGAGATCGCACTGTTGTTGGATGAGAAGACCTGGCTGGCAATGACTACTCTAATTCATCCTAAAATATTCTTTCATGTTAAGCCACAACATCTATGTTTACAACATCAATGTTGAACTTGCTCATCCATGTCTTTTTGAATCTTGCTTTGTACATGGATGTGCAGTTATGTTGAAACAGAAAGGGGCCTCCCTCAAACTGTTCCTACAAAGTTGGGGGCAAGAAATTCTTGAAATTGGGAAATTAAGTTGCCCTGCCTGCCTGTTCACTAGACCTTTGCTGCAGTCACACTAGAATTTGAGCATGCAAAATTCTGTCATAAGGCGCTGCGAAAAGGGGCGGGATCAAACAAGATGATTAGACATTTAAAAAAGTGAGCAATTGGTCCATATTTAAAATTTCTGAGAGATCATATTACAGAGAGGTCATGTTTCGATCTTCGATTGGTCTGATGCAATCACGTAATGCAATTTTGCAGGTCACAGTTTACCAAGCTTGAACTTTGCAACGCAGCTAACTGCGAAACTTGTCGCACAAGCTTGCATTTCTGATCTCGCATGATTCGCATGCATATAAATAGTGAAAAGTGCACTGTGACCGTGGCTCTACACCAGTATGATTAGTATCATTTAATCATTCAGGTGATTTCTGTTACCAATATTCAAGAATAAAATATTTAGGCTATATTAAGAAGATATGTATTTTATGATTTTAAAAGCTTTGTCTGTAGACCTGATTCACATTTCTCTTATGTGTTTATTAATTGGTACACTTTTTCTTTTCATTAAATATTTCAATAATAATAGAACATTTTACCTCTCTGTCTCCATGACTAGGCAATTTTCTATAGAACATTGTAGCGAGTGAGGCGGGGCTGAGAGCCATGAGAGCAGAACAAGGCTGGTGGTGGTTAACTCTTGAGTGTTACAGAGAAGCGCTGAAAACTTAAAAGGAGGAGAGACAGCAGTGGAGGATGAGAGGAACAGGTTTGGACACTTTATATTGGTTTTGCTTTTGCCCATTTGGCCTCTGCCCATTTGTATTTTGTTAATTTTCATTATTAAATTTATTGGATTATTAAGTTCATTAGGCTGGACGGTGGTGCAGTGGAGTTTGCATGTTCTCCTCGTGTCCTCTGGGTGCTCCGGTTTCCCCCACAAGTCCAAAGACATGTGGTATAGGTGAATTGGGTAAGCTAAATTGTCTGTAGTGTATGGGCCATTTTTCAACTACAGGCACTTTTAGACTTGTTGCGAAAAAAAAAAACTTATTCAAAATGAACGTAACAGCCTCATAAGTTTATACAGTTTGTGTAGTTTTAAGATCTGTAAGAAGACAAACTTAGATAAGAAGAGAAACATTTTTTTTCCATTGTGAACTAAACAAATGTCAACTCCACCACATCTCAATATACAGCTTTTATTTCAAAATGAAATAAATGATGGCAGTCAAACATTGTCTAAGATCATTTCTGTATCTAGTTTAACCAATCTTTCCACAATATATAATAATTATACATTTGTCAATGAAATAAATTAGTTTTATGCTGAATTGTACACCTGGCACACTCTAAAATTTAATATTAATTTGGTTTAGAGCTTATTAGAAAATAATTAAACTGAATTTGTATATCAAAAAGAGCACGAACCTATACATTGTGAATACACCTATGTATGCCTGTGAATGCACTTATACATTGTGAATGAAAATGAAAGTGGTGGACATTTGAAAAATAGCTTCACCGATTAGCTTTGCATTGATACTAGCCTTTCATGTATACAAAACACTCTTATTTACCTTCATTTTGTTTGGTTTTTAAAAACACCTTTGAAGGTACAACATGTTTGGAAATGACGTAGAATAAATGTATTTCCTCATCAAGCAATATTTACCTTGATTCTTCAAGTGTTGTTGATAAAAATTTTAATTCCCTCCATCTTGAACATGTTCTCAGATGCCACTATTCATTTTCATAGAAACCACCTCAATAATCTTTCACACAAACTTTTTAAAGCAACATTATAGTGTTGTGGTGGAAATGACAATGATATTGTGCGACAGCTATATTTTGTATAAAAAATAATATTGATATTAGTCTCACATTAATAACTATAAAATATTTAAATTATTTTACTTGTGCTTAATTAGGATACATTAATAGATACCAGATAAATAATATTTTAAAATGTTATTTTTATTGTTGAAGTTTAAAAACTCGTGTGCGACAAGGTGAAAACAGTGATATTGACATAAAAAGAGGTTGAATAATATGAAAAATATAAAATGGAAAGGTAGTAAATTTTTTAAAAGTATGTTGTATTGTTAGCTTAACAAAGAAAGAGGAATTTGAACAAAATTATATATATATTTGGATATATGATAAAAGGACATAAAAGTGCCCGTAGTTGAAGAATTACCCATATGTGTGTAAATGAGTGTGTATGGATGTTTCCCAGTGATGGCTTGCAGCTGGAAGGCCATCCTCTGTGTAATACCTGTGCTGGATAAGTTAGCGGTTCATTTTGCTGTGGCAACTCCAGATTAATAAAGGGACTAAGCCGAAAAGAAAATCAATGAATTATGTTCATTAGATCACCATGTCCTTCCTGATGGTGCCATGAGCTTTATTACAAACATTATAAACATTTGGAAGTAATGGATGTGCACATCATAATTTAAGCTATCGAAATTAGACATTTAAAATTTTAAAAGATATGTTTAATCCTTGCTCTCTTTGAAGTGAAAGTAAATGGAGTCAAAGAGTCAATTCTGCTGACTCCAAAATAAAGAGTTGACTCCTAAAAACTTGGAGGTTTTTTATGCAAGAGAAACATGTTCTCTTGCATGGGAGAACATGCAAACTCCACACAGAAACGCCAACTGAGCCGAGGTTCGAACCAGTGACCCAGCAGCCTTCTTGCTGTGAGGCCACAGCATACCTACTGTGCCACTGCGTCGCCATTCTTATTTCAATCTCAAGAAAACACTGATGCTTGCAATCAAAGGCAGCATTATTTAAGGGCATAGCTGCGAGTGAGACCGAGAAAATGAAAGTACATCATTGTATATATTTTTTGTTGGTCAGTTATCTAATAGATATACAAGAATAACGAATAACATCTCAGGGGAAGTGCTTCAAAACCAGTCTCGAACTCTTTTGGAAGGGTGGTATGTCTGCTTATTTGTGCCAGTCTGTCTGATAAAATAGTTTAAAACACCTTGAATGGTAGCGGTTCCATGTGAGGAGGCTGCGCAGCCACAGGCTGGGCCTGGAGTTGCCCCCGCTCAAGTGCTGAGACTGCAGTTTCCACCCAGTGTAGGCAAGCAATATTTGTCTCGTTAGCTTTGGCTTTTGGAGAGTTTACTCATTTTGAACTTTGTTTTAATCGATCATGAAGTGAAGAGTGGGGTGGGGGAAGGGGGGAGTATCTGATGAAATAAACGAAAAGTGGGGGGGATCCTAAAGCAGGTCGCACACCAGAAGTGCCATGCAGCGCAGCGCCATGCATTGTAGAATTCTAAACATAGGTTTCTTTCAGGATACACACACCGGTGCCGCAAGTCGGCGACGCAGTTCATTTTTCAGCCGCGCCACAGAGCGCCATCTGATTAATTTCATGTTAAATATCATTCGAATGTGCGCATCTGGGGCCTCATGTATCAACGCTGCGTACGCACAAAAACTTTGCGTACGCCAGGTTTCACGCTCAGAATCGCTCACGTTTGGATTTACTAACAATGAACTGAACGTGGGAATTTGCGCAGGTTCACGGCAGCTTTCTGGCAGGCGTACGCACATTTTTTGTGCGTGTCTGTTTTATTTCCATTGGTGACTCCTAGAGGCAGTTGTGTTAAATTCTTCTCTACAAAGTGTCTGATCCTTGCAATGGCAGCTGTATGAGACGGGTTCATATAGTAGGTATGTAAGATTTCCATACCATACAGTTGACCAGCTAAACATTAAAGCACAATTTGCAGCGGTCGCCTGTTTTCCCAATGTAATCTGAGCGATCTACCGCACACACATTGCTATAAAGACACTATCTGAAGATAAATTTGCATGCGTGAATCAGAAACATTTCCATTCAATAAATGTGCAAATAAAATATGATGCACAAACTTATTAATGATTCCTACTTGTCTTTCTCGTGATAAATAGTGGGCAAAATCTGATATGTAGCGGGAAAAAAAAGAAGAATGAATTCATCAGACGCTGGATTCGAGCCGAGTTTATGCTCGAACGTGTCAATACATAATCATATGCTTCTTATGAGGTGCGCCACTGAGACTGCGAAGGGTACTGCAACATTTTACAGATATAAACCACACTATTTCTTTTTTAAATGCACTCAGTGCGATGTTCAGACCCAACTGTGTTAACCGTATCAGTTAAACTCTCCCACTCTATTTTTTTCTTTTGTTGTTAATTCCGGAGAACAAACTTGCAAATAACACCGTTTTCCTCCGGTCTACCTCCGAAAGCAGCACCTCCATTTCACATTCTGTTCAAAGTTTCTCTTTTTGCTTGATTTTGCCGTTGCTTTTTCGTTGGGTTTTGCCATTAGCATAGTCATTAGCATATTCATACGGGGGAGGAGGCAGGGAGGGGTTTTGTGCTCGTGCATGTTGCGCTCAGTTTCACGTTCATTCAGATGTACAAAAGAATATGCGTGAGATTCGGCGTACGCAGTGTTTCATACATCTGAATTTTTTTCTGCGTACGCACATTTACAGCTTTGTGCGTACGCAATGTTTTAGTAAGATTTCCACGCAAGTCTTCGTACATGAGGCCCCAGGTGTGTGATACTTTAAACTGTCATGTGCGCGCCGTGTCAAGGCACCGAGCGGCGCTTCTGGTGTGCGACCTGCTTAAGAGCATACGGCCACTGTCATTGGAAATTTCTGTAAATACAGACTGTATATATGTTATTATTTGGGAGCAGAGGGGGCCCCTAAGTGGTTCAGTGGTTCTATATAGGGAGGTTTAGCTCTGTGTAGAAGTTACTGACACCTTTCATCAAAAGTTTAAACACAGAACACTGGAACATATTTAAACATATAATGGGGTAGAATGGTAAAATACAGGGAAAAAAAACAAGGGAGTTGACGTATGATAAATGCAAACAATGTAATGTCTTCATTATTCGTACAGAATCTCAATTTTTTTTACCAAGCCAACTGTGTGAAACAAGAAGCCTCCAAATGGTGGAAGGTCATTCAAGACACGCATGTATTGTAGTTTTCCTTGAAGAGGAGAAACCTGCATAGAAACACATGGATAAAGAGAAAACTATAACTTGTGAGTAATATTCTGGCCAGCAGATGGCAATGTTTTGCTACTATCCTTTCTGATAGGGCTACAAGTGTTTAGTACAGATACATTATTTGAACTGTTTTGCATATTCCTCCAGCTTTTACATCAAACAAAGGCATACATATAGCACATAAATATGAAAAACCACAATGCAAATTTAAGAGAAAAATGATTTCTTCATCGCATTTGAGGAGAATGACTTCAATTTAAAGTATTCTTAGCAAACAGGTATACCTTATTACCAGCTGGTGGGGGATGCTGATATGTCTTCAAAAGCTGTGAGAGAGTCTTGCAGACATTTTTTTCCTTGATGGTTGGCAACAAAGCCAAAGGAAGGAAAGGTTCTAAGCCCCATTCTTTCCTAAAGAAAATGACAAGGTTTAATCTTCAAAGCACATTTAAACATCTCAAAGACCTTATAGTACTCTTAGATGTTTTTACAGGTGACATGCCACTGGTGGATATATATATATATATATATATATATATATATATATATATATATATATATATATATATATATATATATATATATATATTGGGTATTTTGTTAATAAAAACATACATAATGCTGCAAATATTTTACTGTTGACAGATGCATTATCTTTCAATTATTAAACACATATTATTTAGCCCTTTGGTTCACAACAAACATCTGTTTTGTGAACAATTAAGACAAAATATTTCAGTATTTAAAGCTGAGGATGAAAGAAATTCTCTTTTTTTTAAAAAACACAAAGACTTACTCAACATGCTTTAGAGAGATCTTCTGATTAGGTCTCGCAATTGACACAGTGATGTAGATGTGAAGGGCTGCCAACCTAAGTGTGACATCAAACTTCCAGTCCATTCCAAATCGCTCTTTAATGACGTCATTGCGGCTCTTTGGGATTTCAGAACAAATAATAGATCAAGAGGCTTTATGCTAGCATTAAACTAGTCATGTGAACTGAACATACATTTCTTCGTACATGAACAATCATGACTTAATACACCTGTATGTAGAGGTACTCGAATGCAGCAGGGTCTCTCCTTAACAAATCAGAGGGGTCCTTTGGGAAGAAGCAGATACGGAAAAGACACTTCATTCCTTGGAAGTAAGTCCTATGGACTACCTGAAAATAGAAAAAAAAATAAAAATGAATACAAAATACTAGCTGACAAACCAAATGCAATCATATTTTCAGGCTTTCACAGTTCTTAAAATAAGCAACATGTAGGGATTTAGAATTATTAAACCGATAAAGTAATTCCTGTCACTAGAAATTGAGTACAGAGTATTTAGCAATTTATTATGGATGGTCAGATGTTCTTAAATTGGTTGAAATATCAGAAAAATATAGATTTAAGTCAGATTAGCATATTAATACTACTATTGTTAAATGTATTTTATATGAATTCTACAAACCAATAAGTGATTCTTAGTTATCTGTCACATTTCTATAGGAGTAACCCACATTTAAGGCAAATTTTTAACTGTTTGACTAGAGTAAAACTAATGCATTATTCATGTTTTTTTAGTGTCATTTACATGAGACAGTGGCTGGTTTTCCTGGAGTAGATGCAGCCTCTGATTCTGAGCCAGTCCACCAGACTCCAACACCAAAGCAAAATGCTCAATGTAGCGTAGAGAGAGGCGATCCTGCAGTGATGAAATCACGTCCTATGCAATAGAAAAAAGCATAAGTTCTTCAGTAGTAACAATGACATCTTAGAATTCTAATGTTAGGTGTTATTTTAGCTTCCTAAAGCCTAATTAATTCTGCTGTATCACAATATTTCTAACATTGCTGTACAAAATTAATAGACAGTAGTGGAAAGCAATAGCATCATCAGTGCATAAACAACAGGTGTGACATTTCCATAGCTGATAAAGTACCAAAATCAACACTATTAACTGCTTGGATCCTGCTCAAAATATCTGTCATTAGAGACAAATTAATGAGACATATTTTACAGACTAGGCTTTGCTTCTGAAAAGAACTCTAGATATATAAGGTTTCCATGTCACTAAAACTAAAGCTGTAATTAATTACTGTACTGAAGCGTCAGCGTATGCTTGTCTGGAGCACATTGACCCACCATATAGAGTAAGACATCACATGTGTTTGAAGTAACAGTGTTTCTGTCATCAGGTCTGAGATGACATGTTTGGGGATATTGAGCAAAAACCGAAGATATCATGTCAGAAATCACTGTGAGAAATGTAAATCACGCTGTGAAATGAAATGTGGTAAAGGTAAATACTACTTCATTTAATTTAGTTAATTAATATATAACACAATTATCTTCCTTCCTGGCTGAAAATACCAACTAGACATCTGCACCTTCAAAATGAGCAGAAAATTTGTACTCTCTGAATCTGATGTGGTAAACCAGACAGGATTTACCCAAAACTAAACACAGCATGGCCATATAATCAAAGATGCTGTTTTGTGGGTAACTAACTAACTAACTAACTAACTAACTAACTAACTAATTACAGCTTTAAAACAAACCATTTTTATTAAAATGAGCCTCAAATGGAAAAAAACTAATTGAATGCATCTAAAATTAAACTAATAAACAACACAAGATGTTCCGGAATTCGAGAGAGACAGCTAAAACCAGAATGGCAAAAGTTTGTTTGTTGGCTACTTGTGTTTACCAGTTCCCTTTCAGTCAGGTCTATGAGTTATGTCAGGTAATTGGTAAATTATAAAAGGTGACCATTGTTTCTTATAAGCTCTAATACTTTTCCAGTCTGAAGCAGCCAACCTTTCCACTACCATATGCTCTAATACCAAATTCATCCAATAATCAATGTTTAGAAGCTTAGAAGTTTTCCAATGTTGAAGTGTCTGTTTTCTTTTAGTGAACTTCAATGATCTTCACTGCCTATACAATATAAAGTAAGTCTCAGAATGTACAAGAAGCATTGCGTTAAAATCCGTTGTACTGCAGCATGTTTTTAAAATAGGAAATCATATTTTTCCACAGTTTTTTTAATGGAGTTTCTGTCCTCACCTGTTGATACTGACCGTACTTGCATTTAAATGACTTTTCATCTTCTTTTACGCTTAAATAACTAAATGAATGCTAAAGTCTATTTAACAGATTATATTTTAATTTATTACAACACTGATGCATTAACCATCACTGCCAATGGCCGAATAAAAATAGCAAACAATAAAGGAGATAGAGGACAACCTTGTCTAGTAGGGTGATATCAGGCAAATTTGGCCATTATGTAAAATTCCAAAATTTAGTTTGTAAGACTTTTTTCTTCAGTAGTAAACAGCCAATGACTGCAAAGAATTTCAATTGCTGCCATAACAGTACTTGATATTTAGCTAAACCATTTATTGGTTTGAGGTTGCTAAGGCCCTGTTTACACTAGTGCGTTTTAGTTTGAAAACGGCATTTTAGATCAAAAACGATCCGCGTCCACACTAGTATTTCACCTAGCATTTCTGAACATATCTCCGTCCACACTACGCCACCAAAAACGTATATCACGTGACCATTCGCGCACTCTGGGCACGCGCATTCTAGCGAATATATGCCGCTGCTGTAGTAAAAAAGATAGCGTTTAACTGCACAATGGCGCCTAAAATCGACAATAGTGCAAACAACGCTCCCATTTCTATGTCCATGTTGTTGTTTACAGTGAAGGCTGGTCTGTTGTCTTCCGGTAGCGTTAAAGCCATGTGTTATAGTCATGTTATAGGGGCTTGACGAATAAGGGAAGGATATGCAAAGACACAAAAGCCCCAATCAGCTAGCGAATGTCGGCAGCCCCGCCTCCATTTTCAGATGTCTCCGTTTTTCCCCATCCACGCTAAAACGGAGCAGCAGCGTTATGATAACAGCCTCTCCAGCGTTTTTAAAGTGCTCCGTTTTCGTCGCTCGAAAACTCAGGCGTAGTGTGGACGGATGGCGTAACCAACAAAACTTATGCGTTTTCAAACTAAAACGCATTAGTGTAAACAGGGCCTAAGTGGGGAGGGGCAATGCCTCATTCTGACACCACATGAGAAAACGATAACAGCGATAATAAATCAATAAAAAACTATGCACATTTAGAGAAAATGTGTGTTTACAGTAAAATGTAGAATTTTCCCCATAACACTTACCCTAACAGTGGTGCGGCTGTCAAATGTAAAGGATTTGATCTGTCCATTTTCAAGAAACACCTTCAACACATTTGGTATCAGAAGCAGAGAGTCGTCTTTAAGCATGGTCTAATAAGATAAACAAAGGGAAGAAAATAGAGTAAACACAGTCAGGGAACCTTGTATAAGATATGAATGGGAAAACAAATACAGATAATACAAAAACAAAAATGTAATTGTATGAAAATCCTAAAGGAAAAAGGTAATTAAATCTAAAATAATTATTACAAGGTTATAAGAAACAGTTCAAATTGATTGGAAATGTTTTCTTTAGACATACAGTATTATACAATTACCAAAAAATAGTACGACTTGAAATTTAAAAGTACTAATAAGTACCTTTGAGGTAACAATATGAACTCGTTACATACGTGAAACTTTTAAAAAGGTACCACCACAGTGACAGCTCTCATACCTTTTTTTTTTTTTTGTATGACTAAATAGAAGTTAGTGTCAGGTTCATCTTTCTATATGCAACTCATAAGTCATCTGAATGTAAACCAATTGAACACAAGCACTGAATTAAACAGAAATCTTCAAGAAATCTGCTTTATTTCCTAAAAAAAAATACAAGGATATACTTAGTATTGTTAAGGCTGAACAGGTTATTATAATTTTTTATAGTTCAAAACCCAACTACTATGGAAGACTGACTGAAACTCTTTAGATGACCAAGCAGCCAACAAACAGCAAATACTAAAAAAATGTAAATGGTTAACTGTGTTTAAAATATTTAGCTGTTTTTGAAAGTCTCCTGAATCCTTTTGAAATACTAGAAGGATTTTTTAAAATTATGATCATGACTCAACTTCCAAAAATAAGTTCTATAGCTGAATATGCTCTACTGCTTTAACTATTTTTTTTTATTTTATCTCAAGACTCAAGACTTCTACAGTGCCTCGGAAACTAATGATACAGAGCTGTGGGTCCAGTTTTCCACCAATCAACCAACAAACCATAAAGGTAAATGCCATAGCCCTGGTACAGTCAATATTTAGGGGTTCCACTGAACATCCAATGACATTATTGTTTTGCCATGTAACCTCGACATCTGCTGCTAAAGTCAAAATATAAAAGCAAGGTGTTGGTAAGGCTGATTTGTCAAACTCTCTTAATTTATTTTTGTAACTGAAAATGTAAAACAATAATTAATCAATAACTGAAAATTTGATTGGTATTTCTATTTGCTATGCCACATATACAAACTAACAAAAGTCTTGTTCCCTGTCCAAGTTTATGGAACAACAAATAATAGTCTTAACTCAAATAGTTTATTATTAAGGTCATCTGGAATGACAATTTCTAATGACAATCTTCAATGCCTTCTACTTCATCTTACCCAAGACATTCTCAACTATGTTCATTTCTGGTGATTGGGCGGCCAATCCTGGAGCACCTTGACTTTCTTTGCTCACAGGTACTTTGATCTGGAGGCTGAAATATGAAAAGGATTGCTATCCTGCTAAAAAATGCCCTCTCCTGTTGTTTGTAATGTAATGGGCAGCACAAATGTCTTAATACCTCAGGTTGCTGATGTTGCCATCCACTCTGCAGATCTCTCAAATGCCCCCATACTGAATGTTACCCCAAACCATGATTTTTCCTTCACCAAACTTGATTGATTTCTATACGAATCTTAGGGTAAATGCGGGTTCCAGTAGGTTTTAGTAGAACAGATGATTTATCTGAAAAATCTACCTTCTGCCACTTTTCCAAATGATCAAATAGAAATCAAGTTTCCCTTCATGGAAACTACAATGTGCGTCTGGTAACAGCCAAGCACTCTAAAGAGAAAGAAAAAAGGCCAATGAATAAGCTTGGCTCTGCAGATGCCAGTGATTAGTCATTAGTTAAACATATCAGCTGGTGTCCGTGGAGTGAGCATCGGATTCTTTGCTTCATACCTCTTATTGAGACTAAAGAGCTGCTATCTGCATCCTGATTTCCAGAAGAAACCAGTTTCCTAACCAGTGCAAGTGAAGACGCAACAGCTGCGGTCGAACTGGGCTCCTTTCCCGTCCCCTGGCATTTCACTGGTCTTTAAAAGAGCAATTTCTTTAAAAGAATGTTGAGGCGGTGCTCGTGGACAGTTCTTGCCCTCATTGCGAGAGCTTGACTGTTGCGCAGCTGAGGTTGCGGCATACTCTAGCATTAGGGTGTGCTACTCCTCTTGCTCCCCACAAGTCAGTTAGCGCACGGGCAGGTCTGAGGATTACAGTGGGGGCTAATCCGTTGCCTTTGGACCCACGGACCTCTTACTCCTGATCAGTGTGCTTTGTCCAAGCTTCGAGAACGCCGGTTCATCCTCAAGGATGACTGCGCTCTCATTAGATGACACCTGAGGGCGGGCCATCATGCTCTGATGATGATCAGGACCTGCTGCCACCCTCTGGGTTGTTAGCGAGGCTCCAGATTAAGAATTGGACTTGCTAGCTGTGTTATCCTGGGCTGCTTCAGCCGTAGGACTGGACATGGCTTGTCTCCCAGCTCCGCGGCTGGACAGCCTAGATGGGTGTTACATGGGGGTCAAAAAGAATGCAAAGCCTCACAAACCCCCTGTCCTTCCGGCATCTTTTTCTGCCCAGACCTTGTGCGCTCCTGCTCTCACCACCCTTGACAGTGGAGTAGCCAGGGGGTATGAGGCGATTTCTCAGGTGAGGTGCACTATTTTGGTCAATCTTTGCTCGCAAGGCATCTCCACCTGGAGAGGTCCACCAAAACTCCCATCCAAAATGAGGCTACACTGCTGTGGGCCAGGCTGTTTTTGCTACCAAGTGGAGAAGTTAGCCAAGAAGCAGAAGGGTGGTTCCTTCCTGGTCTTAATGAACGAGCTCAGCACAACGACTGATTATGCTCTCATGACCACCAAATCCACCGCCCGTTCCCTGTGGAAGATGATGGCCACACTGGTAGTCCAGGAATGCCACCTCTGGTTTAACCTGGCGAATATGAGGGATGCTGACAAAGCTAGCTTTTTCAGTGCGACCATATCGCAGGCTGGCCTGTTCGGCAGCACCATTAGGGACTTTACCCAGGAATTTTCAGCAGTGAAAGAGCAGTCAAAGGCAATAAGTGAGGTCATCTATCAGCGATCTCTGAAAACTGCTCTCCTTGCTGCCCCATCCACTTCAGCTGCTCCTCGCCGAAGACACCCACTCGGGGCTACAAGACCTGCTCAGTCTCCGCTGTCCACTCCACTGGCTAAACGCCAGCGCCAAACCATCGACGGGACTGGAGCCCAAGGGCACCGTTAAGTCCAGTAAACAGACTGCCAATCATCCCTGAGACAGGCCAGAGAAGAGGATTTTCTCTCACTCCAGCCTCATTGCGGGATCTGAGCCAGTGCCTCCAGCCGAGATGAAATGCGGGTTTTACAGCTCGTACTTCATCATGTCTAAAAAGAGTGGGAGGGTTAAAACCAATCCTAGATCTGCGTAAACTGAACCATTAATTACCCAAAATGCCATTCAGAATGCTCACACAAAAAAGCATACTCCAATGCGTCTTACCTCGGGATTGGTTTTCAGCTATAGACCTGAAGGACGTATTTTTTTATTTCTCCATTCCTCCACACCACCATCCTTATCTTTGATTTGCATATGAGGGTTGAGCATGGCAGTACAAACTCACGGAGGGTGCCCTAGCGCCTTTATAGCTCGCAGTCATACGCATACTCAATTTTCTTGACGATTAGTACTGGCTTCATCTCAGAATCAATTGATTATGCACAGGGACAGGGTGCTACGGCACCTCAATCAGTTGGGCAAGCTCTGCCCCTCGCAGAGAATCTCCTACCTCGGGATGAAGCTGGACTCTGGCCATGGTAGCACACCTCTCAGAGGGGCTGGTGCTATTCTGTCCGAGTTTATTCGACAGGAAAACAGTGGTCCCACTGAAAACCTTTCTGAGGCTCCTGGGGCATATTGCATCATCTTCTGCCCCTTGGATGGATCTTACTTTCCTACGGGCCGGTGTGTCCTTAGAATGAGTATCCAGGCATATTGTCGTATTGACAGATGCTCAGAAGAACTCAAGAACTCAGTCTTGCTTGGTCCAGCTGATATGGGAGCACATCAGGTAAGCCCAGGTTGACCTGTTTGCTTCACCCGAAAATGCCTTTTGCCAGTTGTTTTACTCCTTGACTGAGGCCCTCCTCGGCACAAATGCGCTGGCTCACAGCTGGCCACTAGGTATGCACAAACATGCGTTTCCTCCAGGTAGCCTAATTGCACAAGCTCTGTGCAAAATCAGGGGGGATAAGGAGCAGGTCTTGTTTGTTGCACCTCTTTGGCCCAATCAGACCTGGGTTTCCAAACTCACACTCCTTGCGACGGCCCCTTCCTGGCGCATTCCCCTGAGAGAGGACCTTCTCTCCCTGGGACAGGGCACCCTCTGGCACCCGCACGCAGATCTCTGTAACCTCCACATGTGGTCCATAGACAGAGCTCCGAAAACTTAGCTGACTAACTGGCGTCGGTGGGTAACACCATTACTAAGGCTAAACACCTTCTAAGAGGCATGCCTATGCCCTGAAGTGAAGTCTATTTGTGCTTCTTGCTAAGAAACCCCCCAAATTTGCAAGGTAAGCATTGTGTTATCCTTCTTTCAGAATAAGTTGGAGCTTAGGCTGTCAACCTCCACAATGAAGGTTTACATGTCTGCCTTCTCCACTCATCATGAAGCGGTGGATGGCAACATGCTCGGAAAGCATAATCTAATCATCCGATTCCTCAGAGGCGCACGGCGATTAAATCCATCCCACCCCCTCTCATGGCCTCTTGGGGTCTCTCTGTAGTCCTGGTGGGTCTGCAGAGAAATCCACTCAGCCACTCAATTTAGTTTCTTTAAAAATTCTGTCCACGAGGATAGCTCTGCTGATCACGTTGGCAATGTTCAAGAGAGACTGGGATTTGGAGGCATTTTCAGTCAGCGATTTGTGCCTGGAATTTTGGCCAACTCTCATCCTGAGACCTCGGCTTGGCTACGTGCCCAAGGTTCCTACCACCCCATTTAGAGATCAGGTGGTGAACCTGCAAGTGCTGCCCACGGTGGAGGCAGACACTGCCCAT